CTGATTGGTTCTTGAAGAAGCTCAAACGTCCTACGTAACACAAGAAGGAACCTGATTGGTTCTTGAAGAAGCTCAAACGTGTTGCATAACACGAGAATGAACCTGATTGGTTCTTGAAGAAGCTCAAACGTGATGCGTAACACGAGAATGAACCTGATTGGTTCTTGAAGAAGCTCAAACGTGATGCGTAACACGAGAATGAACATGATTGGTTCATGCAGAAGCTCAAACGTGATGCGTAACACGAGAATGAACCTGATTGGTTCTTAAAGAAGCTCAAACGTCCTACGTAACACAAGAAGGAACCTGATTGGTTCTTGAAGAAGCTCAAACGTGATGCGTAACACAAGAAGGAACCTGATTGGTTCTTGCTGAAGTTCAAACGTGATGCGTAACACGAGAATGAATCTGATTGGTTCTTGAAGAAGCTCAAACGTGATGCGTAACACGAGAATGAACCTGATTGGTTCTTAAAGAAGCTCAAACGTCCTACGTAACACAAGAAGGAACCTGATTGGTTCTTGCTGAAGTTCAAACGTGCTGCGTAACTCGAGAATGAAGTTGTGTAGGGACAGAAATCTCTCAGATTTCATCAAAAAGATCTTCATTAGTTTTACGAAGATGAACAAAAGTCTTATGAGTTTGGAATGACAGGAGGGTGCGTAAATAATTACAGAATTATCATTTTAGGGGGGAACTAACCGTTTAATGTTAATCAATGAACCTTTGTTAATAAACTTTGAGAGAACCTTGAGAACGTTCCCTGTTAACCGGGATTCCCAACCTGTCTTTTGAACCCTATTAGCTAGAAAGGGGTCGGTCTGAGTCATTTTAGAAAAGCACTAATCAGCTGTTTAGTGAGTGATTGAGCATTTGCTTTTATTCACACTGCGGTTGTCTGTTGCTCTGGGTTTCCTCTGGAAAATGCCTGAACTTCTCCTCCTTCTCCTCTAAGGCAGTAATACTCATTTAAGCCCAAAGAAGTGCTGCATTTTATGAGGCAGGATTCATTGCTGTGACTGAAGTTACTCTATCCAGTATGGCTGCCAGCTGTAGGTGTTACAACTGAACCAAATTTCTTCATAAAGGTCAACCAAACACAAAACCTTAATTACCTCCAGGGATATTTTGTATTGTTCTACATGTTCCTGACTGCATTAGTAACTCGTCCTCCATTTCTCTTTCCGCTTGGCACATAACTCTGCTGTGGCACGGTGCCGGCATTCAGAGGCCGAGTGTGTGGTCACTGCGGTGTGAGAGCTTTTGTTGAGGCCCTGGGGAATCATACATTATGTGTAAAGGGGATTTCTGCTGGCTGTCCGAAGTAGTTTTGAGGGAAACAACCTAAAAATCTAAATATTTAATTATAATCTTAATTATAATGACTGTGAGGATTCTTCTCATGCAGGGGACATGGAGCCTTTTTAAAATCACTGACACTATTAAATAAGGCTGTACCCAAACATAGTAAATAAGTTGAATCAACCTTAATGAATTAAGTTGACCCAACGCAAGTACAATAAGTTGGAATAACATAATTGCATAATACTGAAATTAAGAAAGTTAATCATGTGGAAATCCTTTCCATGATTTTTTTATGTTCATTCAAAGAGCTTAGCAAAAAATAAAATAAAATATATATATATATATATAAAATAAATATATATTTACAGTTGTTGATGTTTTTTTTCACATTAGGGGAGGCATGTTTTTTTTTTCTTATTATATAAAAATAAACAAATATGTGAATCAGTGCCAGAAATGAGCTTTTCCAATGAAGGGGCAATATTTTATTCCATTTTTGTTTTATTCCATTTTTTTTTTGTTATAAATTCAGATGTAACAAATAAAACATGGAGAAGTTTATAACAAGCAGAAGATGCAAATAAGTCAAATCTATTCAATTCATGACACTTATAGAAATAGTTTTTTTTTGGAACACCCTTTTTGAAACCTTTATTTTCATGTAATTTACAAAAGTCTGGTGGTGCCACTAGTGTAAAGTTTCTGAAAAAAGCGTGCATTCTGTTTTTACTAGGGCTGTGTATTGGCAAGAATAAAAAAAAAATAACAAAACAAATTTGTTAAATTTGTTTTTAGAAGTTGTTCATAAACTACTTGATAGACTTAAAGGAGAACTCCGGCGAACAATGAACCTTTGGTCTAATAAAACATCGGTACCTAGTCGACCGTTCTCTGAGATTTGTTTTCATGATAATCGAATGTAAAGAGTTTTATCTCTAAAAACTGTTTAGCGTATAATGCTAGTAATGGGGACATTTAATAAGTAAAAAAAGAAATCGCTAGTTTATACCACTAACAAGGCTCAAAATAGCCCCACACTAACACAATAACATAATCCATACATGCAAAACGAAGCATTGAGAATTTTGTAAGTGTACAGACCGTTTAATAAGAAGATACTTTATGAAGACAGTTCACTTCGCGTATACAGACAGGAGCCATCTTAAAAAATAGTCTCGATAAGTCGATCCCCGAACGCCGTCAGAAGTTCGCTGAACTTCATACAGTTCAGCTCACTCAGCACGGCGTTCGTGGTTTGACTTATCGAGACTATTTTTTAAGATGCGGCTCCTGTCTGTATACGCGAAGTGAACTGTCTTCATAAAGTGACATGGTGGCATAGTGGTATAAACTAGCAATTTCTTTTTACTTAGTCAATGCCCCCATTACTAGCATTATACGTTAAACAGTTTTTAGAGATAAAACTCTTTACATTCGATTATCATGAAAACAAATCTCAGAGAACGGTTGACTGTGTACCGATGTTTTATTAGACCAAAGGTTCATTGTTCGCCGGAGTTCTCCTTTAAAGTTTGTTCAAAGCCCAAACTGAATAATTAAAAACAAGTTTAATGGGTAGGCTACATTTTCTATAAAATTTGAGTCTTCATTTTCTTTTCTGACATACTGCAGTTCTTGTTAAAACACACTAGACATGCAAAGTCTGAGTGTTTTGGTTATTTTTTGTGTGAAATCATATTAATTTTGTCCATCAAAAGTGTGCTTTCACTTCAATTGAGCGTGAGCAGCGCAGCAAAAATAGAGTCTCCGCCGAAACCCGCGCTTCACTGCTGCTCACGCGATGGTCCTGCTCGACGCTCGCGGTGTGAATGAACGCACTCATTGATTAATATGCACGGCAAAAAAAAATATGCGCTGCTCGCGCGCCAAACGTGTAAAGACAAAATGATCCCACACTTCTGCACGGAATAGAGCGAGTGTTTGCTTTGAACACCTCCACCTCCCCAGCTCCACCTGCCTAGATCTGCTACTGGATTTATGCATGTCTATTCATGCAACGGCATAAAATTATTCAATGTTGTTATGATTTGAATTCTATGGAAGCTTGTTTCCGCCACTGAATAAAAAAATATAATAAATAATTGTGACTTTTTATCTCACAATTCTGACTTTTTTTCTCACAATTGCGAGTTTATATCTCACAATTCTGACTTTATTTCTCAGAATTGCGTGATATAAAGTCGCAATTGCGAGTTATAAAGTCAGAATTGTGTGTTATAAAGTCAGAATTGCGAGATATAAAGTCAGAATTGTGTGATATAAAGTCAGAATTGTGTGATATAAAGTCGCAATTCTGAGAAAAGAAGACAGAAGTGTGACTTTTTTCTCACAATTGCGAGTTTACATCTCGCAATTCTGACTTTATAACACATAATTGCGAGTTTATATGTTGGAATTCTGACATCTTTTCTCAGAATTGTGAGATATAAACTCGCAATTGCGAGTTATCAGGCCAATTCTAAGGGGAAAAAAAGATCAATTTTTTCCCCCCTCAGAATAGTTTAAATCTCACAATTCTGACTTTATATCTCGCATTTCTGACTTTATAACACGCAATTGCGACTTTATAACTCGCAATTCTGACTTCATATCTCGCAATTCTGACTTTATATCTAGCAATTCTGACTTTATAACTCGCAATTCTGACTTTATATCTCGCAATTCTGACTTTATATCTCGCAATTGCGACTTTATATCACGCAATTCTGACTTTATATCTCACAATTCTGACTTTCCATCTCGCAATTCTGAGAAATAATGTCAGAATTGCAAGAAGTAAACTCAGAATTGTGAGAAAAAAAAGTCAGAATTGTGAGATAAAAAGTCGCAATTACCTTTCTATTTTTCATTCAGTGGCGGAAACAAGCTTCCATAAAATTCTATTATCTGCAATTTGACCAAAAAAAAAAAAGCATTACTATTATTAGGATTTCTTTTCATGCAAGAATACAAACTTAGGTTTAAACATGTAAAACATTGCCGGCACATATGTAATTCTAAAGGCCTTGATCCTCAATTCATTTTAGCATGATTTAGATTCTCAAACAGATTGTTCATTGGCGATCTCAGACCTCTGCTGGTGCCGAGGCTGTACTCTACAGTGCATACTAATTGCAGACTTTCTTTGGCACTCTGGTGTACGCTGTGCATTAGTGATGTCATTGCTTTTGTTGTGTTCCCTGATGCAGTCCTGCAGGACACTAAAGCTTAGCTTACAGAAAACAAACCAGCTTTATTGGGCAGTTTTCAATGCGAACTTACATCATGGTGGAAATGACTTTGACTAGTGGCAGTTTATATATGCTGACAAAATGTTGCTTTTTGTTGAGACTGCGCTCACAGCATGCCATTGAACAATTGTTATACTTTACGATGTGTGTGTGTGTGTGTGGGTGGGTGTCAGTGTGTGTTCCTGGTAAAACCTACATTGTGAGGACCAAATTTCCCCACAAGGATTGTAATGCCTGACATTTTTGAGAGTGTGTGTGAAGTTTGTGCATAAAGAGTCCCGCTGTGCTTGATGAACTCTGTGTGCCAACATTCACACTGCTTGCGCAAGAAGTCTGCTTTAATAAATGACATCCATTAGCATTACAAAGCGAAGTGCTAAAATGACGGCTGAGTTGGTGGGCTGGACATCTACGAGGGGGTCCGCGCTCTCAGATCCTGAAGAAGGACAGTCTGGATGCGATGGATTTGAGTTTGGACGTTACACTTGTGAACTGAAAGATGAGGACGGTGTAAAAGCATCATTGATAATATGAGATTACACAGCAGCACACTCCAAACACACGTATGGATACTAGGAGTCAAAGCGCTGGAGATCATCCCATGGCAAACAGCACCTGTAAGTCAAATCTCTTCATATTCAGTTCATCAGGGGCAAATGCTCTTCTGCATTTAATATAACTTTACAAAATATCTGCAATTTGTGAGAAAATGCACATTTTATTTAAAGGTTAATCCTGACACTTTCCATTGTTACATTAAAAAAATCATGTGCATGGTCTAATGCTTTTGAACACTACTTTACTTCAGTAATAATTAGTTGTGTGTAATGTATACGTCCTTTTTTCTTTGTTTTGAGGAACACAAGCGAGATTGATTGAGAAGCAGTTTGCTTTCCTGTAAAAGTAGGAACTGCAGTGAGGTCACCTGATGATGCAGGTTTCTTTGACAATATCATTATTAAAATCAACTGTGCTGCTTTGTCCAGATGTGAAGATGTTTGCGGCGCTCTTTGGAGTGATTTTGGCTAATGCAGTGGTAATGACTTATTTCTCTATAACTCATTTTTGAAATTCTTCAAGAATTATCATTTTAAATACCCACATTCTCTTTTTTCTTTGTATGTTTTACAATGAAGATTATGGGTACATGTGAACCAACTCAATCATGGTCAGACAGGGCAGAAAGAGACATTTTGGGTAAGTAAATGTTGTATTTTTACCCTCACAAACAATAATTAACCCTATAAAGCCTGTCGTATCATATTTAACATATTAATTTCTAAGGAAATAAAATGTTTCACACAATCTACTACATACATTCTGTCATCTGATTGATAGTTTAGACTTTTTTAGCAGTGTAATTTTAAAATGTCCACATCAGCTTGTGCTTCACATGTCTTATTGCTGTGAAATCTTTACTGATTATTAAAAAGTAAACAAGAATAACTTTGATATTGTTAGACAAACACTTACTAAAGTGACTTCAGTTTACTTGACTCAAATGTGAGTATCAAGTGATCATCAGGCTTTTAAGGAAGGTTTATTTATTCATCTCTCAATCATCATTGTATTGCATTGCATTATATGTTTTAAACGTGATTTGATCATAAAACTAAGCATTTAAACATCTTACTAAGACATATTATTGGCAGAAATAGAGATACAACTAATATTTACATGCATTTTATGTTAGTAGTCTGTTATACTGTTAGAAAGATCTCATTGATTTACATTAAAAAGCGAGACGTTTTGTCCGAATGAATATCAGCATCTGCACCAAATTGCATATTTTTGTTCATTTTTTGTCTCTGAATAAAATTGAGCCGGTTTTCCTCTTTGAATGTGAGCTCCATATTCTCACTATATATTATGATCCATAAAAGGATGATGTTTCAAAAAGGATTATTATATAATTTGTATGAGGTTCACTGTTCTATTTAAAAATGTAAGATTTTTTTTCGACTATTATTTCACACACTGGCTTTAAGCTACTGATATTTTTGTACAAACAAACAAAAAAGTTGTGTATTAGATTTATTCTGGTTGCAGTAACCATACAGTAAACAATTTACTGAACAACCTGTACAACTTAAAGTAATTTCCAGAATTTTTTGTACAGTTATTGAAATGAAAAACCCATCTAATGTGAAGGGTCACACTGAGAATTCTGGGAATTTGAGTTTACGGCATTTCACTGATTTGTTAATTTTTTTACGTTGAAAAACATCAACAGTATTCATTACAATTTTTACAGTATTTTACTGTAAATTTACAAGAAAGGAAAGGTCACACCCATAGACTGTAAAAAATATGGACAAAGCGTCTGTGACGTCACCCATAGACTCTTTGAAGAACGCGTTTGAAGCCGTTTATGGGGGGTATGGGCAGCGCCATACTGGAAAATCTTGGGAAATACAAAATACAAAAGTTTCAGAAAGGATACAAAGGTGGTATGATGTGTTGTGTCAGATCATGGCCAAGACGTCAAATTCACTCGGCGCAGCCCGTTATCAGCTGATAATCAACGTTAACCGCCCTTATTTGTCATACAGTTTATATCTAAATATGATCTAAACTAACGAGTTAGAAAAAAATTCACCCCCCTCACAGTTGTCAGGCACGCGGAACATATTGAAGATTACAATAAAAGTCCACGGGACCAAACTCTAAAAACATATGAATTTATGCTGTGAACACGGACATTATAACATGACTATGGATATTTGCTCCCTTTTTGGACCGGCCTCTAGCGGATTTGAGATGTATTGCAGATTGTCGCATTCCGGGTAGGCTTCATCTTTCAGATTAGAATGTTGCCACATTTAACTTTTTACACCGTAAAAAGTTTAATTTTAACTGAAAAATATTGTTACTTAAAGCTAATGGAAAAAACTATATAAAGGGAAAAACTGTAAAAAAAAATCGAATTTAATGTAATTTAAGTAGTAAAACATTTTTAGTAGTAAAAAAGTTTCTTTTTATATAATTTGTAATCAAATTGTGATGTACAGTGAAAAACGTCTCGGTTACTAATCCTGAAGAAGGGCACGGGAGACGTTACGTCGACTATTTTGCCTTCACTAGTGTGCATGAACTAGCTTTACAGATAGCTAACGTTAACAGTTTCCAATAAAGTACCAGAAGCTTCTTGCTGTATTGTGGTGTTTTACTGAAAGGACTGAAAAACTGTAACATACAAAAACAAAGAAAAGCATATTACAATCTCAATATGAAGAATATACAACACAAAAATAAATATGTAGTCTAGAAATAACTAAACTTTCAAATCACGATTGTATGGCAAACAAATAGCACAATGCTAATTTACATAGAAAATGCCATAGAGAAGCTAACGCAATTAGCGTCACATATTTCCTTACAAATTACAAACAGAAAAATGCTAAAATGGGATATCAAAAGTAGGCTAAGATCTCTAAGAAACAAATACTTACAGACAGATATTCGTCAGAGACCAAAATGACAGTTTAGAAACTTTAACACTCTGGAGATCGACTTGCAGGGAGAAAGTTATGAGAACAACTGAGCTACGGAAACTCTGAGTGGACAAAACGCAAGAAACTCAAAACCCAAATACCTCTTCTCACAAGGGCAGTACATCGACGTATCAATGTAATTGGGACCACTTCAAGGAGCCCTATTATCTTCGAGTGTCTATAGACCTTATGTAGCCATTCCCTTTTCAGCGTCTGTATTTTCTCAGCAATCTTGCCTATTTATGAATGAACGGCTCGTTTTTAAATCTTCTCGGTCGACTGACATTTGTTAAGAAATCTGCTTTAAACATTACAATCCCCATGATAACTTTCATTAACTTTACATCAAGTAAATCCTCATCAAAAGCTAGTTACTCCTGGACAGCGATGCCGTAGAGATACACAGAGCGACCACAAAAACGGAAGTTCAAAGACAATATCCTAAAGATGGCAGCGCCCTTGTTTCTCTGGTGCATAAGGTCTATAGAACGAGCAAATGAACGTTGGCGTGCGTGAAACAGGTGGCGGTGTAACAACGCTGGCGTGTAAGTTAAAAAGGCTATTAGAATTTCAAAGGCGGCCTGTGGTTATCAATAAGAATTAAACCGCTGACTTCCCTGCTCACCATCTCAACCTGTTGCAGATGTGCCAGACTCGAACCTTCTGCTCCAGAACGATGCCGTGTACCTGCTTGTGAACACGTCGTTCAGCTTCAAACAAGCTTCGCATTACTGCCATGGTCAGACGGGAGCCCTCACAACCTCAGGGGTCAAAGAGGACGAGGAGGGAGCCCAGCAGTTACTCCTCAGATCCAACCTCAAGAGCCCCGTCTGGTTCAGAACCAGCAGAAGCCAGAACCCCACAGCCCGTCTTTCCCAACACAGTAGGTTTGCTTTTCTGAGACGATCAAACCAGTTCCTGTAATGTTATTAGAATGTTCTTTCAAACTGTAGAACAAAAACATCGTTTTGGAGTGTAATTTTAGTAGGTTGATCATCTATTTTATAAATGTTTCAGAATGTTCGTTCAAAAGTAAAGTTTCCAAAATGATCGAATGGAATTTTTCTTTTCTCTTTGAAATAAATTTTTGATATGTTTTATCTTACCTCAAGAGCATCCAAGATGGAGGTGTCTTTGTTTCCGCAGTATTTTCAATTTTTTATATTTTTAGGTCAAACCGTTCTTGTCTGTCAGTCATATAATGGAGGTCTATGGTCACCACCTCAGAAAGCATGCACAGAGAAGTCCAAATTAAACATGATTTAATGACTCGTAAATTAAAGTACACATTGATGGCCTAAGACACGAAACGAGCGGTTTGTGTGAGAAAACCAACAGTATTTATATCGTTACTTAGCCGTATATATATTTAGCCACAAACCACCCGCGCCCTCAGATCACTTGGACGTGGCTGTGATTACAAGAGGTAAAAACGATATAAATATTTGTTTTCTCACACAAACCGCTCGTTTCGTGTCTTAGGCCATCAATGTGTACTTACATTTACGAGTCATTAAATCATGTTTAATTTGGACTTCTCTGTGCATGCTCTCTGAGGTGGTGACCATAGACCTCCATTATATGACTGACAGACAAGAACGGTTTGACCTAAAAATATCAAAATTGAAAATACTGCAGAAACAAGGACACCTACATCTTGGATGCCCTTGAGGTAAGATAAAACATTCCAAAAAATTATTTCAAAGTGAACTATCCCTTTAATGTTCGCAATAAAAAAAAAAGTTAAAACATTTTTTTTTTTACTGACGTTTTGAACATCAGAAAACTTCCAGAAATAATGTTTTATGTTAGCCACGTGTATGACTTCTTTAACCATATTAAAAACATATCCTGGCTCTTCCCAGCTTTATGGAGTGAATGGTGCTGGTTATTTTGATGCCCAAAGTGCATCAAAGTAATCCATACGACTCCAGCGGGTTAATAAAAGCCTTCTGAATCAAAGCAATGCGTTTGTGTAAGAAAAATATCCATATTTATAACTTTATAAACTATAATCACTGGTTTCCGGTACCGGGCGAGTCTGGTTCCGGTGGAAAAGCGACCTCTGACCTGACGGAAAGCCAGTCATTATAGTTTATCACGTTATAAATATAGATATTTTTCACATTGTTTCAGAAGGCCTTTATAAACCCCCTGGAGTCGTATGGATTACTTTGATGCACTTTGGGCTTCAAAATAACAGGAACCATTCACTCCATAAAGCTGGGAAGAGCCGGGATATTTTTTAATATATCTTCTCGGCTGAAAGAAGAAAGTCATATACACCTCGGATGACTGGAGGGAAATCGTGGTATAATTTTCATTTTTGGGTGAACTAACCCTTTATTGGGAATGTTAGCTAAATATTCTTAGAACAAACTGGGTTAGGATAGGAATATTCATGGTGTTTTTGTCCTTCATCAGGGAAAGAAAGTAGTAGGACAAATCAGCCATTTTCTCTCAGCCTTTTACCATTTGAAAATAAAAAGTCTTAAAAGGACAGTTCTCACAAAAATGACAATTACCCCATGATTTACTCACCCTCATTCACTTACATTATAAAGATTGGAAGAGCCGGGAGTTTTTTTAAATAGGCTTATATCCCTGATTGTGTTCGTCTGAAAGAAGAATGTCATATAAGTTACACATGACTTTGAGGGTGAGTAAATAAATTTTTTTTTGGTGAACTATTCGTCTGATGAAATCTCTGAACCTTCACAGAAACGGTCTTCCCAGGCTTATCTTTCAAGTCTAAGGACGGCTATGCCCGAGTGAACGCGTCTTTCCCGTCCCTGTCCGCGGTGAGCATTTGCGTGCGCGTGCAGTGGGACCCGCGGGACGAGAACGTGTCCACGGTGTTCTCGTACGCCACGCGCTCTGTCATCAACGAGTTCCAGCTGCGCGGAAAACACGCCGACAGAAAGCTCCGCCTAGCGCTTGTCATTCAAGGACAACATCATCCCTACAAAGCCGAGCTGCCCATTGATGAAGACTGGCACCATGTTTGCGTCACGTGGCGCTCAAAAGATAGATTTTGGGCGATTTATGTGGACGGAAGAACGGGAGATTCTGGGCATGGGAACGCACGGGAAAAGGCGAAAGATATCTACGGAGACGGGATATTTATATTAGGGCAAGACCAGGATACCTTTGGTGGAACTTTTACGGAGCCGTTTTTTGGAAACTTGACTGACCTGAACATTTGGGGTGAAGCTCTGGAGTTAAAACAGGTGCAGGCGCTGAACACCTGCTCAGAGCTGACCAATCACAGAGCTTTATTCCGATGGCGGGACCGGAGCCTCAGCCCTGTCCATCACTCTGTCCAGAATGTGTCTGCAACACTCAACTGTCCAGGTTAGCTTCGTTTATTATGATGACATACTTTAAAATGCACTATTATAATATATAATATATATTTTATATGTAGGGTGATGATATCAGGTAAAATGGGCCATTTAAGGTTTGGGGGTCAATTTAGAGCCAATGACTTCAAACTGTTGTCATAACTGTGCTTCACAAGTAACAGGTGATTTGATTGGTTTATGGTTGCTATGGTGGGCGGGGGAATAATTCAAATCAAAGCTGCATCGTAAGTAGCCTAACTAAACTATTATAATGATGATGATATATCTATAGAAAAACAAACATGCACATAAAAAAACTGTCTTGATGGCATTAATCAGAAATAATGTCGTTAGTTTGGTATATGAACATGTTTTTTGATGTTTTTCTTGGTGGCCCAATTTACCTTGACCCACTGAGGTAAAATGGGCAACATGGTTTCAGCTAAAATGGGCCATCATCTGTGTCACACACACACACGCACACACACACAAAACATAAATGGCACATATGAAATATGTTTAAATGGTATGTGGCTTTATAAGAAATTGTGTTTTAAAATTAAAATTGATGATAAATTGCTATTTCCCTTTGCAGTTTGAAAAAAGTTGGCACATCTGATGTTTCAAGAACTGTAGGGCCTAAATAATTATATTTTATTACATAACTCCAACACAAATTTGTCAAAAACAGTCATTATTAATCATAAAAACACATGGAAAAGGCATATATGGGATTGTATTATTGTCCCAAACGATTTACCAAAAGTGGCCCAATTTAGCTGATATCAACCTAAATTTAATACTAAAATATACACATTTTTGCATAATAAATAATGTTTTTGTTACTATAATATTTGCTATTTAATTCTAAGTGTCTATTGTAGCTTTAAATGTCTACATTGAATTATATTAATTAGGCCTATATATTGTGAATTATAATAATTTTTTTGGTTAAATGGCTGAAGATTCTTGTGTGATCTGTAAATAAATATTACTATAATTAGTACCGAAGGTGTATTTTTCCGCCATTTTGAATTTCCCTTAACCTACGTTTTCGAACTCCTCCTAGGCCGTTGCTTCGATTTTCACGAAAATTGAACCAGATCATCTTCAGACCATGCTGACAAAAAGTTATAGTATTCAAGTTGATTTGTCAAACCGTGAATGAATAATATGCAAATTAATTCGACGAAGAGCACAGCAAAATTACTGTGAGTTGTGGGCGCTATCATCCGCCAGCGCAACGCAAGGGTCTTTTGCTAGTTTCAGCCCAACGCAGTTTTCATTTTCATGTCGTGCGCCACGTTGTTTAAACAGAATTTTTTTGTGCCCATGTCAGTGTGTTATTCAATTTGGTTACAGCGCCACCTATTGGTTAAAAGTTATAAACCATTAAATCACAGTACTAGTGATTGCATTTGATTTATTCCAGCCATTTTGCCTGAAATAATCTAAAAAATGTCTTTAATTGCTCATTATCGTGTCGTCTGTATATACTCCTATACTTTGGATCTTGAATATTTAACATAACAACTACAATAACTATATATATATATATATATATATATATATATATGGTTGTTTCAGCTGGTATGTCAAAATTAATTAATTGTAATTTTTAAGTTTCTGTTTATTTTGTGGTGGATATAATTATTTCCGCAGGGTCCCTGAAGACGGCGCAGAGACGGGAAGAGGAATGTGAGGTCTTTAATGGCCGGCCTGACGGTCAGCCTCAGTACAACCTTGCCGTCTGCACACACACATTCCCTTTCATCTGCAGAAGCAACAAAGGTGTGTGTGAAAGGGTTGCTGTAGCTGATTAAAGTCTGAATAAAATGTAATTTTACTATTCAACAAATATTCAACAATATTATTGATCTGCCTGTTTTGACGCCGTTATATTAGATCTGATCTGAGCTGGAGGATGATATGACGGTTTTCTCCAGAGCGGCTATATATATATATATATATATATATATATATATATATATATATATATATATATATATATATATATATATATATATATAATATAAATGAACAAAATAACTTTTTTACAACAAAAATGAAACATTACTGAACTTACTTAAGCTGGACTATGATGATATTTTCTTCTGGAAACAAACTTTGTTGCGTTATTTTCCTGTTATCTCAGTAAAGCTGCTTTGAAACACTCTGTATTGTTAAAAGCGCTGTATAAATAAAGCTGACTGGACTCGACTCTCTGACCCACAGAACACTACCTGAAGATGAAGGAACTGAGAGAATCTCTGAGGTCCAACCCGAGCCACTTCATGCAGGATCTCATGCAGTTCGGGATGGTATGAGTATCTCACACACAGTGTCTGTCATTACAAATAACCAAAGAGTGCCAGCAATAATTTAAAAGTAAAACAAGTCATAGTAATTAGGGGTGTAACAATAATTTATGTCACAATATATCGCAATACAAAAATGCAACATATAATTACAATGTTAGAGAGAATTTTAGTGTCAGTACTACATTAAACTGCCATATATAATGTTGAATATAATGTATAATAATGCAATAGATGAATATTTGTTGGTCCTAATAGTGATAATGCCAAATGTCTGATGTTACCAGTAAAAATGGCCGTCATTATTTTAAATATATCTAGTCAGTGACAGAGTTCAAGCATATTCACCTAAAATAATTCTGTATTTTCAGCTTCAGAATCATGAATATGTTTATTCTGGTGTCTCTATTGTCCTGTGTGTTGAAGTCTATTCATTTACACACACAACGTAATATCAAATTTAGCATTTTAATCAACCTGTCTTATCATATGTCTTGGAGTATCGCAATAATATCGTATCGTGATATGTATCGAATCGGGACATTAGAGTATCGTTACACCCCTAATAGTAATGTAAAAACTAAATTAAGAAAATATTAAGCCCATCTAATGCCTCTGGTATGCCCTAAATATTACATGATTAACCAAATGTATTTTTCCATGTAATGCACTTTCTGTAAAGCTGCTTTGAAACAATTTGTATTGTGAAAAGTGCTATACAAATAAACTTGAATTGAATTGAATTGAATCTAACTCGTTTCTCTCAGACTGCAGACGATGTGTTCTCTGATGCCGTGGACGGGCAGAGCTGGTCTTCGGTGTCCCGTCTGTTAAACGCCTCTGAGCGCGCGGTTCTGAAGGAGCATGAGCCGCTGGAGGACAGAGATATGGTTTCTCTGATGCACGTTCTCTCTCGGGCCGCTGATCTTCCCAGCACAGCAAACCAGAGCCGGCGAGACGCTGAGAGACTCGGCCAGAGCTTCATCACCATCGCAGACTCGCTCCTTAGCCAACAGGAGGCCAGTAAATGGCACAGCATCAAAGAGGTGATCTCAATCAGGAAGTTATGACAACAAACACTGCAAAAAACATGCTTTTAAAACTTAAGTCTTATTTCCAGTCCAAACATCTACAAATTCTTAAATCAAGTTGCATTTACTAGATGTGTAAAATGACAGGATATAAATCAAAATTAAGTGAGTTGATGCTCAAAACAAGCAAAATGATCTGCCAATGAGGTAAGGCAAATAATGTTGATTCAAACAGAAACAAGATTATTTTTTCTTACTCCATTGGCAGATAATTTTGCTTGTTTTGAGCATCAACTCAGTTAATTTTTATTATTATTTCACCAGAAAATAAGACTTAATACCTCAATGTCATTTTACTACTTTAGTAAATGGATCTTGATTTAAGAAATGTTTGATATTTGACAAAAATACTAATATAAGTAAGAAAAGCATTTTTTGCAGTGTATGTTTTTACATTGCTGTAACACATTAAAATAAGTTTAAGCAATTTTCAACTGTTTTTGTACGTTATAGAATGTACAACTGATTTTTTTAAAGTCAGTTTAATGTAATTTAAGTTGAAATGACTTACATTTTTTGGTTAGGTTTATTATTGCATGATTTAAAGTCAGAAATGCATGATATAAAGTCCAAATTGCGTGTTTTGTCAGAATTGTGAGATATAAACTATTCTGAGGGGAAAAAAGTTAGTTTTTTTTTTCCTTAGAATTGGCCTGAAAGCTCTTTCTCGAGATGTAAACTCTCAACTGTGAGAAAAAAAGTCAGAATTGTGAGTTAAAAAGTCTCAATTCTGTTTTTTTTTCTCGCAATTGCGACTTTATTTCTAAGAATTGAAACTTTATATCTCGCAATTGCAACTTTATTTCTCAGAATTGCGACTTTATTTCTTAGAATTGCAACTTTATATCTGCAATTGCGACTTTATTTCTCAGAATTGCGACTTTATTTCTTAGAATTGCGACTTTATATCTGCAATTGCAACTTTATTTCTCAGAATTGCGACATTATATCTGCAATTGCAACTTTATTTCTCATAATTGCGACTTTATATCTGCAATCGCGACTTTATTTCTCATAATTGCAACTTTATATCTCGCAATTGCGACTTTATTTCTCAGAATTGCAACTTTATATCTCGCAATTGCAACTTTATTTCTCAGAATTGCGACTTTATTTCTTAGAATTGCAACTTTATATCTGCAATTGCGACTTTATTTCTCAGAATTGCGACTTTATTTCTTAGAATTGCGACTTTATATCTGCAATTGCAACTTTATTTCTCAGAATTGCGACTTTATATCTGCAATTGTGACTTTATTTCTCAGAATTGCGACTTTATTTCTCAGAATTGCGACTTTATATCTCGCAATTGCGACTTTATTTTTCAGAATTGCGACTTTATTTCTCACAATTCTGACTTCATATTTCACAATTGTTTTTATTTTATAAATTTTTTTTTATTGTGGTGGAAACAAGCTTCCATAAGATTTTTTGGGTATAATATGTCATAGTTTATTTTGCTATTCTCACTTACAGAAATTGAACTATAGTGTCCTGCACAGACTATAAAAAAATATCAAAAATGAAATCTGGTGTCTGAATAATTTTTGGTTTGAATGATTGTAGGTAGTGAAGGGGCCGATGTCTGTCATCCAGACTGTAGACCGTATGCTAAACAACCTAAACTCTCTGCTGATGGATGACACAGACAGCGTGCAGATACACAGCCACAATATCAGTGAGTCACACACACACACACACACACACAGAGCGAACGAGAGCACTGCAAAAAATGCTTTCCTTACCTCGTATTCGTATTTTGGTCTTGGTCTAAAAAAATCTTAAAATCAAGAATATTTACTGGAGATAAGTCAAATAAAAAAAAAATCTAAATTAGAATAGGAAAAAAAAAACTTAATACAAATTTATTTCCCCGTTGGCAGATAATTTAGCTTGTTTTAAGCAAAAACACACTTTATATCTGAAAACAAGATATAATTTCCAATGTCATACTTCTTGATTTAAGTATTTTTAGATATTTGGACTGGATACAAGACAAAAATACTAAGTGAGAAAAGCATGTTTTGCAGTGACACACAGAAAGAAACTGCGTGTGTGTTTCAGAGGTGCAGGTCCAGCAGCAGCTTCTGTCGGACGCGTCTCACACTCCTCCGTTCTGTGGCTCGGATGCGGGACATCGAGACTGCATCTCTGTCGCCGCTAAAAACATGAAGGAACTTCATAACAATGGTAGGGATGATTAAGTCAAGTCCAGTCAGCTTTATTTATACAGCGCTTTGAACAAAGCAGAGTGTTTCACAGCAGCTTTACAGAGATAACGGGAAAATAACGCAACAACGTTTGTTTCCAGAAGAAAATAGTGTCATAGTCCATCAGTGATGGTTCATCATTGTTGTAAAAAAGTTATTAATTTAGTTCATTTATATATATATATATATATATATATATATATGGGGTAAACCGTGATGTCATCGTCCGTCCAGCTCAGATCCGATCTCATATAATATTGTTGAATACTAAATTAAACATCCCCATGTTTTGATAAGTTTTATTATTTCCTTGACTCATATTTGTTGTGCTTGTTTAGACTTCAGAAAGGTGACTTTATTGAACACATGGTACAGCTCTGTGAACTGTCTCTCAGAGAGAGAGGAAAACATCAGCCTTTCTCCCATAGTCAGTGATGGATCGCAGAGGTAAGCCATGCTCACTGGAATCTGCCAGACCATTAAATGTTTCATATTTTCTTACAAATGAACTAAACAGTTTGCACTACAACTACATGATTGTGATGGACCCTTTTCCCAGAATGTAATGATGCATTTCCGCAGTTATTAAAATAGGGTTGGTTATCATTTGATTATAGATTCCTAATTTCGATTCCAAAAGTTTAAAAAAATAAATAAAAATGTAGAAATCTTTCACATTTATTCTGAAAGTGCTTGAGTCCAACTTTCTCATCCAAATTTTTCGCACATTAGAAAATATATACATTAACAAACAAACTGCCTCCGAAACTTTCATTCGTCATAAAAAAAATCGGATCAGGTTTCGATTTTCTACGGATTTTGAGAGTTTTTTGACGATTCATGACAAATCCGAAAAAAATTATTGCAAAAACAATACCATGAACAAAAATGAACAGAGGAACTTTTGCCTTACGTTTAATAATACCACAGCAAAAACATCTAACCTAACTAATATCCATGTACTTATAATACTTAAAATATTAAAGACAAGGAAACACTCAGCAATTAAAAAAGAATAAATTGGCTTTGACATTGATATAACTGTGTCATGAATATTTTTTGTGACCTCAACTACAGTGCTACTAATGTAATTTGTCATTAAAAAGTTATAATGGCTTCATGACAGCCAATGTCAAAACCAACTACCTGACAGTTTAACCCTTGTGCACTGTTCAAATTCACAACCTTTTCGTCATGTTCGTGGCTGAAAACTGCTTTAAACTGCTGTAAAAATCTATCAGATAAATATTTTTTTTTCAAATGTTTTTGCATAAATCTATTAATTTTCAAATCAGGATTTTAACTCTTTAATTCCCAAATTCATAAATGATGCCATTGATTTGAGGGAAAAACGCACACAAAATTACTTATTTTCAATGTAATATTAATCATAAATATTTTTTTTACCTTTTATCACAGTCAAAATGTATCAGATACATTTTTTTTTCTCAAATGATTTTGCATAAATCTATTAAATCATCCTCAGTCATGATCAAAATGTAAATGTCTACTAAATGTAAAAAAAAAAATAAAAAAAATAAAAAAATCAGGATTTTAACTCTTTAATTCCCAAATTCATAAATGATGCCATTGATTTGAGGGAAAAACGCACACAAAATTACTTATTTTCAATGTAATATTAATTATAAATATTTTTTTTTACCTTTTATCACAGTCAAAATCTATCAGATACATTTTTTTTCTCAAATGTTTTTGCATAAATCTATTAAATCATCCTCAGTCATGATCAAAATGTAAATGTCTACTAAATGTAAAAAAAAATAAATAAAAAAAAATCAGGATTTTAACTCTTTAATTCCCAAATTCTTAAATGATTTGATTCATAAATGATGTCTCTGATTTGAGGAAAAAACACACAAAATTACTTTATTTATTTATTTATTTATTTATTTTTATTATTTTTATTTTACCTTTAATCCCAGTCTTGGACATGTCAAAGATTAGAAACAACATCGGTTTTGATGCATTGTTAGTTTTCAGCCACGAACATAATGAAAGGGTAGTGAATTTGCTCATTGTGTACTGTTGAGTTTTTAAAAAATTTCAGAGCCAAATTCCAAAATATGTGTCAAAATAAGATTTGTCACCAAAAATCATTCAATTTGCTGAAACACGGAACAAGTTATGGCCAAATTAAGACTTAAAAATACCCCATGGTAAGTTGGTTTAACAGCACATAAGGGTTAATATAATGTTAACCAATAAAGCTAGGTGCTTTCTTACGTTTGATCATTAATCTGCTATGTCATGTTTATGACAGGTTGTGTTGTCTTAGTAATGTCAAGTTGTCATGGCAAAGACACTGACAGGTTTTGATGTATCGGTTTATGTCAAGGTGTCATAACAAAGACTGTCATATTTGCATTAAAAATGTCATAATTGAGCGAATGACAACATGTATGAAACCTCCTTCATTGTCATGTCATGATTATGAAGGTGTCATGTCAGTCTTATGCACACCCCTTCAAGTAAAGTGTTCCCGAAGTTTCTTCTGATGTAAAAGGATCCGTACGTCAAACTTAAACGTGGGTCAGACACACAGTAAATGTTCTTTATATTGTGTGTTACCTCCTGGATCAGTGTATGGCTACATCAGATGGCTGATGTGTGTGTGTGTGTGTGTGTGTGTTTGTCAGGTATGTGGGAACCGTCTTGGGCTCGTCGGTCATCTCCAGTTCAGTGCTGGCGGACGGACTGCCGGTCAGCGTGGCCATACACTTCACACTCCAGCACAGGGTTCAGGTATGACACAGAGCAGCTGTCCGTGTGTGTGTATGGAAGAACAATAATGGCAAACGTTTTAGAAACACAAAAGCTTGTTGAATTACACTAAATGTATTTGCTTGCGTTTTAATGCATTGCTTTTTTAAGGGCTGAAATTCAACATGGTTGAATAGTTATTTTACACACATTTTCATTATTAAAAATGCAATAATCCATAATTTACCATTCAGATTTCGCTAAAAATACAACCAATAATATTTGACAGGCAATTTCCGCTCCATTTATTTCGCTTTACAAACTCAGTGGTTCAAATTCGACAGAAAATTCAACATTTCCGGTCTGGGAGCTGCAGGAATAGCAGTAGATTAACGATTACTAATCTCCATCTGCTGTTAGTCGAGCTCACCAGAAGACCAGTCCCTCAGTTCATTCACGAAAACGGATTTACAGAAATGGAGCGAGCGGTGAGTGTGTTTGATGATTATCAGGCCCAGAATATAAGCAGAAAAGACACAAAAGTTGTGTTTGCATACTGTATTTAGTTCAATTGGTGCAATTCAACAAGTTTTTTTGTTTCAAATTCACATTTGCCATTATTTTTCTTCCATAGTTTTAGTTAATAAGCATATTTTCAGAAACTATTAAGTTATTTCTGAACTTAGCTTTGCCTACAGTCATCAAGAGATTGTTATAATGGGTTTAAATATTTGGAATGACTTAAAAACTATTATGTTATTACAGACTTTCAGAGTTATACGAATAGGAGATTTTGGTGAATGTTAACCCTCAGGTGCTCTTCGATCATTTCTGACCGAAAATAATTCTGTTTTGAATTTTTAAAAATCACGGCTTCATCGGAATGTTACGAAACTTGGTGACTTTTATGGCATTATGTATGTGAACACACAAAAAAATTGAGGTCATGATCTGAGCATGCTAAGTGGTCTTAAAAAAATAGTCACACTTGTGGTCTTTGGTCAAAAATGACCCCCATAGGAAATGAATGGGAAATTGACAAAACACAAAAATTCACAATTTTTTTATTTATTATTTTACATTTTTTTAAATAAAAAATCGTTTTTGAGATTGTTTCAACTATATATTCAAATCCCCCCCCCCCCCCCCCCAAAAAAATGTGTTCATAAACAATCGGAGGAATTCACATGCCTCTTAATAGAGAGCTGTACACGCCATCTAGTGGTTACTCCATGATTCTACGCTTTTTCTCTATACTGTAACCAGATGGTGCTAATTTTCTTCAAAAACTATTTTTTTTCTGAGGGTCTAGACTCTATATTAAACTAAAATACTGCATTAATAATTTTTTGAAAAAAATAATATATATATATATATATTTTTACATGGCAAAAAATAGACCATAAATATTTCGTACATATTAATAAATTCAATCAAATTGTCTCAAAATACTAAATTACAAAGAATAAATAATATAGAACAAAAATAAATTGCATTGGTTTTACTGGGATGGAGGAAATTTAATTTTTAGGTGTCCGGTCACTTCTGACCGGGATGATAACAAGTGTGACTCTGAAACGAAAAGCATACAATGTAGACAATATAGGCGTTAAAGAGAAACTACCTGTCTAAAGTTTAGGGGTCAGTAAGAGTTGTAGGTTACACTTTTATTATTACAGTGTAATTGTATAGATTTAAGTGTGTGGACTTACTATTAGGGTTTGGTTTAGGGTTAGTTGTACTGTATTATGTATTATTGAGGTAATAACTATAAATTGTGCATAATTACATGCATGTGACACGTGAGAGAGACAATGAGGCGAAATGTTTTTGAATAAAGTCTCTTCTGCTCATTAAATCTGTATTTATTTGATGAAAAATTAGTTGCGTTTTCTATGTGAATATTTTAATAAAGTGTAATTTATTCCTGTGATAAAGCTGAATGTTCAGCATCATTACTCCAGTCTTCAGTGTCACATGATCCTTCAGAAATCACTCTAATATGAGGATCTGATGATCAAGAAACATTTATTATTATTATCAGTGTTGAAAACAGTTTTTTTCTGCTTCATAATTTTGTGGAAACCATGATACTTTTTTATTTTTCAGGATTCTTTGATGAATAGAAAGTTCAAAAGAACAGCATTTATTTAAAATAGGATCTTTTGTAACACAATAAATGTCTTTACCGTCACTTTTGATCCATTTAAAGTGTCCTTGCTGAATATTATAAAAGTATTAATTTCTTTAAAAATGGTTCTGACCTCAAACGTTTGATCGTCAGTGTGAACTGAGCTACTTCTCTCCAGCAGGATTGAATGAAGTGTGTGTTTGTCTTTTTCCCTCTTTAGAACAGTACAGTGAAATTGATCCCTGTCTGTGCATTTTGGGATTTTGACCTGATGTAAGTGCTTTTCATTTACTTACATGCATCATATTATCACTTGCCTGATGTTGTCATTAATCCCTGCTGAGATGATGTGTGTGTGTGTGTGTGTGTGTCCTCAGGTTAGAGAGGGGTGGCTGGTCAACCAAGGGCTGCGCCGTGATTTCCTCACAGAATAACTTCACTTCTTGTTACTGTAACCACACCACCAACTTCGCCTTGCTGTTACAGATCTACGAGGTTCAGGTAAGGAGGTTTCTGATTGATAGATTAACCAGATGCTCATTTCAACCAAGCAAGAAAATTGCAAGGTCATATCTTACAGTTCTGAGACGGCAAGATATACATTAAACTCATAATTGTGACTTTTTCCCCACAGTTGCGACTTTATATCCCACAATTCCTACTGTATTTCTCAGACTCTATATATATATATATGTATATATATGTGCAGTTGAGAGTTCTAAACTTATTTTTATAAAGTGCGAGATAAAAAGTAGCAATTTCCTTTTCTGTTTTTTTTATCCATCCTTTCCTTGGACCAAGAATGAATTACTTTGCTTTCAAAAAAAAAAAAAAAAAAAAAAGTCTTATATATTTGCCGAGAAAAAGAAAGTGTTAAATTAAGCTCAGACTTTTTAATCTCAATTTAAGCGCACAAACTTAATGATTTTTGTTATTATTATTCGTTTTATGTATTGTTCATCTTTGAGAAGCTGCTTTTAAAGGCTCATATATAAAATAAAATTATAATTATTATTATTAAAAGAGCCAATAATATAAAGTGAAATCATACCAGAATTTTTTGGGGGGATATTCATTAATTTTGATAACAAAAATGTTAATACCTCATATACACTGTCTAATTATGTGTCACAATTTTAGGAGTAATTTATAAAAAAATAAATAAATTTACCTCGTTCCCTGCCAAACACGTAATTGTCCGAGTTTTCACTGTTATACGCTAGGGGGCGCTATTACACATGTCCTGCTCCAGATCAAAACACATGCAAAGAAGCAGAAACAAACAAGCGATCTCATATGTAATCATGCATAACGTGATCATCAAACATTAAGCGGCACATGTTATTGTAATGAATTGTAATGTCGACCCAGGACAAGCTGTAGGACTGAGGCTTTGATAGACTCGATCTTCTGCATCTGTTTTCATCATCATTCTGAATCACATCTGGATCTAGTTTTGGGCAAAAACGTGATTTTTCGCAGGTTTTTGCTCAAAATGTAGCTTTTTTTTATTAAACTTGCCCACATTTAATTGTTGATGCGCAAAGCTAGAATACAACTTTTTTTTTTTTTTTAAAGCTGAGAGTCTGTTCTTTCTTTTGATATATTTCATGCAATTTTTGTGAAAATGATAGAAAATGCTGGCAGTTGCTGACAAACTTAAAACTAAAAAAAAAACGCTGGTGGGGAAAAAGTTATGAATTTCAGTCAGTCCATTTTAATTTTGTTTTCTTAAATGAAGTGTGTGTGTGTTGTAGAGAAGCGTTGAACACGAGACGGCTCTGCAGATCCTCAGTTTGATTGGCTCTGGTGTGTCTCTCTGTGGTCTCCTCTTCACACTCATCCTCTTTGTGGCTGTTGGGTGAGTTTTTTATTGATGTTCAATTATATGATGATAACCATGCAACTTTTCTCTCTCACGTGCAGCGTCTCACAGATGTGCGGCTCTCTGTCTCCCTCTAGCGTCCCCAAGTCAGATCGCACTACGGTGCACAAGAACCTGATCGCGGCTCTGACCGTCGCCCAGTTTCTCCTGATCTTCAGCGACTGGGCTGCGGGAAACCAGGTCTGCCTTCTACATCTGTGGATCACACTCATATTAATATCTCACTTCATGCTCAGACAAACAGGACACAGAACTGCAAAAGATGTGTCCAATATTTATCATTACAAAAATGTTTAAAAACTGATCTTCTTGAATCGTCGCTACCATCAATATCAATATATGAAATGCAGAATTGTGTTTTTGACCTGCTTGAATTGGAGGAAATTATCTTAAATACAATTATCATTTATCATGAATTTGACCAGTTCAAGGATCACTTATTCTGAAATTATATATAAAGAAAACTATGAACAGTAAAAGTCCATGTGAGTTTGCTGAACTAACAGCAGGTGAAATATGGAAAGAGGACCTCAGGGATGAGGATTTTTTTTTTTAATATATATTCTTTATTTTCGTTATTTTTCCACAAGCAAGAAAACAACAACAAAAAAGGGAACAAAACGTAAACAAAACACAATCAAAACAGACAAAATATAAATAAATAAATAAATTACTCAGTATAGAGAAACACCGACATTATAAGCGTAGTATACAGATTGTCACAAAAAGGTTATTCTTTGTTACAATGAAGTATTGAATGGCTTGAACCCAAGGGATATATTCTTATACATTTAAAGAATAGCAAATATACAATAATATATTAATAATAATAATAAAAAGAAACAATAATAAATAAATAAATTACCACTACTGCAACACATTTAACCCAATTCCTGTAGAGTGTCTGCCCAAGGTCACTAAATCGCAACTGTCTTTATTTTATTCAATTAACCTAAATCTGGTTGTATATGGGTAATATAATCAATCCAATCTCTCCATAGAACTGAAAACAACTGGGACTTTAGTCTTAGAGCATAGGTTAGCTTCTCCATTGTAAAGATATCATGCACTATATTCTTCCAGACAGACTTTGATTTTTGTTTAAATGTTTTCATAAATATCCGTAGCGAAGTAGCGAAACAGCTGTGAAATTAAGACGGTGGTTTCTTTAGTGATAAATTACCAAATCAAACTCTGGCGTTACTTTGTCTGTTTAGAGATTAATACTTTTATTCTGCAAGAATGCTTTAAATGTATCAAAATTGATTGTATTGTGATTGTGTTTTAAAGTGTCACAAAGGATTTCTATTTCACATAAATGCTGTTCTTTTAAACTTTCTATTCATCAAAGAACAAAATGCATCACAGTCTCCACAAAAATCTGTTTCCAACATTAATAATAATCAGAAATGTTCAAATTAGCCAATCAGTGATTTCTGGAGGATCATGTGACTGAAGACTGGAGTAAAGATGCTGAAAATTCAGGAATAAATAACATTTTACAATATATTCACATTGAAAACAGCTTTAAATTGTAATAATATAGTTAGTGATATATTTTTTTTTATCATATAAACGCAGACTTCTTTCGTTTAAAAAACGTTTAACCAACACAATCTCTTGAACTGTAGTGTACCTATTAATATTTGTGATATGGACGTGTTTTTTGTGTGTGTCAGGAGGCCTGTTGGGTGGTGACGGCCCTCCTCCATCTGTTCTTCCTGTCGTCGTTCTGCTGGATGCTGGTGGAGGGTTTGCTGCTCTGGAGTAAAGTGGTCTCTGTGAACATCAGCGAGGAGAGGAGAATGAAGCTCTACTATGTGCTGGGCTGGGGTGAGAACTGAGAGAACCGTCTGTGTGTGTGTTCGTGTACTGTTTGATTAACCTTCCTCTCATGCATTGTGTGTGTATTTGCTCTGTCTTCCTCAGGGCTGCCGGTTGTGATCGTCGCTGTAACCTTGGTGGCCACTTTGGACCAGTACAGAGCTCAGCAATACTGCTGGCTGAACCTCCAGTCCAATGTGATTTGGGCTTTTGCTGGGCCTGTGCTCTTCGTTTTGGCCGTAAGTGTGCATGTTCAGAGTAAGAGATTAAGTGACTCAGATTAAGTGAAGCTCTTATCTGCGAACACTGAATTCAGTGCTGATATTTTTAAAGTCAGCATGAAATTAAAATTCATCTGTTTTTTTGATGTGCATGTTATAGATTTTATTGTGAACAATTCATCCATGGAGCAGGTTTCATTTTTTAAAGTCCCCCTGTGGTGAACATCCAGCCTTTAATGTTTTTTTATGTCTACATAGTGGTTTTAATATGCTTTAAGATATTTTACTTATGGATACTCCTTTGTTACACTGCCCCATGTATGCATGCAAGCTTCTTAAAGGCACAGAAGCAAAAAACAAAAAAAAACAACAAAAAAAAAAACAACTACAGCAGATTGAGGGTGGAAACATGTTCTTAGAAAATCTTGTTCACACATCTTCACTGCTATTACAAATTTGCCTCAAATGACAAAAATAAGAATATAATGTATCATAATAGTTACAATACGAAAAAATAAAATTACCCCATGATTTACTCCCATAAAAGTGCATCTCTCCATGATAAAAGTGCATCTGTACGTCATAAAAGTGCATCTGTCCATGATAAAAGTGCATCTATACATGATAAAAGTGCATATATTCACGATAAAAGTGCATCTATCCGTCATAAAAGTGCATCCATCCATGATAAAAGTGCATATATTCACGATAAAAGCGCATCTATCCATCATAAAAGTGCATCTATCCATGATAAAAGTGCATCTCTCCATCATAAAAGTGTATCTATCCATGATAAAAGTGCATCTGTCCATCATAAAATAGCATCTATCCATCATAAAAGTGCATCTATCCATCATAAAAGTGCATCTATCCATAATAAAAGAGCATCTATCCATGATAAAAGTGCATCTATCCATCATAAAAGTGCATCTATCCATGATAAAAGTGCATCTATCCGTCATAAAAGTGCATCTGTCATAAAAGAGCATCTATCCATGATAAAAGTGCATCTATCCATCATAAAAGTGCATCTATCCGTCATAAAAGTGCATCTATCCATGATAAAAGTGCATCTGTCATAAAAGAGCATCTATCCATGATAAAAGTGCATCTATCCATCATAAAAGTGCATCTATCCATGATAAAAGTGCATCTATCCATCATAAAAGTGCATCTATCCGTCATAAAAGTGCATCTATCCATGATAAAAGTGCATCTGTCATAAAAGAGCATCTATCCATGATAAAAGTGCATATATCCATGATAAAAGTGCATCTATCCATCATAAAAGAGCATCTATCCATCATAAAAGTACATCTATCCATCATAAAAGAGCATCTATCCATCATAAAAGTACATCTATCCATCATAAAAGTACATCTATCCATCATAAAAGTGCATCTATCCATGATAAAAGTGCATCTATGCATGATAAAAGTGCATCTATCCGTCATAAAAGAGCATCTATCCATGATAAAAGTGCATCTATCCATCATAAAAGTGCATCTATCCGTCATCAAAGTACATCTATCCATCATAAAAGTGCATATATCCATGATAAAAGTGCATCTATCCATCATAAAAGAGCATCTATCCATCATAAAAGTACATCTATCCATCATAAAAGTACATCTATCCATCATAAAAGTACATCTATCCATCATAAAAGTACATCTATCCATCATAAAAGTGCATCTATCCATAATAAAAGAGCATCTATCCATGATAAAAGTGCATCTATCCATCATAAAAGTGCATCTATCCATGATAAAAGTGCATCTATCCATCATAAAAGTACATCTATCCATCATAAAAGTACATCTATCCATCATAAAAGTACATCTATCCATCATAAAAGTGCATCTATCCATAATAAAAGAGCATCTATCCATGATAAAAGTGCATCTATCCGTCATAAAAGTGCATCTGTCATAAAAGAGCATCTATCCATGATAAAAGTGCATCTATCCGTCATAAAAGTGCATCTATCCATGATAAAAGTGCATCTGTCATAAAAGAGCATCTATCCATGATAAAAGTGCATATATCCATGATAAAAGTGCATCTATCCATCATAAAAGAGCATCTATCCATCATAAAAGTACATCTATCCATCATAAAAGTGCATATATCCATGATAAAAGTGCATCTATCCATGATAAAAGAGCATCTATCCATCATAAAAGTACATCTATCCATCATAAAAGTGCATCTATCCATCATAAAAGAGCATCTATCCATCATCAAAGTACATCTATCCATCATAAAAGTGCATCTATCCATCATAAAAGAGCATCTATCCATCATCAAAGTACATCTATCCATCATAAAAGTGCATATATCCATGATAAAAGTGCATCTATCCATCATAAAAGAGCATCTATCCATCATAAAAGTACATCTATCCATCATAAAAGTACATCTATCCATCATAAAAGTACATCTATCCATCATAAAAGTACATCTATCCATCATAAAAGTGCATCTATGCATGATAAAAGTGCATCTATATCCTTGATAAATGTGCATCTATCCGTCATAAAAGTGCATCTATCCTTAATAGCATATATCCATGATAAAAGTGCATCTATCCGTCATAAGAGCCAGGACTTTTTTTTTTTATGTAACTCCGGCTGTATTCGTCTGAAAGAAGAATGTCATATACACCTAGGATGGCTTGAGGATGAGTAAATCATGGGCTAATTTTGGTTTTTGGGTGAACTATCCCTTTAAAGTTGAAAGATGGTCTTCCTTGCACTATTTGTTTCTGTCATAGACATCATATAAGTAGACGCCCTATCGACCGCTACAGCCTATTGGCACGGAGGAGGCGTGGGGCCGCCATCTTTAACTGCTCACCCGCTCCGCTCAGTGTAATCTGTTTGGCAGGTGAAATGAGCTGTCGGCACGTTTAATGAATCATATCTCACTGAATACTGAACTGATTTTCACGCGGGGTCTTTTGCTGCAGCGGTCATACATGTAGCTATGAGACGGGACACATGGGATATTTTATTCACAAAATACAAACTTTAGTCAGGTAATGTTAAATGTTAAATCTTACTTGTGAAAAGTAATTCCCGAGCGATTTGAGCAGGAATATGCTGCACAGTGCTCCGTCATCTACTGCTGCTGTGAAACACAATAGGAATACGACCGGTTCAAGATGGCGGCAGCATTTCTCATTGCCCAGCATCCAGCATCATTGGCATCTAGTCTCTATATGATCTCTATGGTTTCTCTGTTCTCAGGTCAACGCCGTGGTGCTTTTTCGTGTTGTTATGGTTACAGTGGCCAGTGCCCGTCGCAGAGCCAAAATGTTGACGCCCAGTTCTGATTCGAAGCTTCACATGCTGGATCTTACCTGGTGATTGCTTTACACTTCTCAACTTCTTTAAGAGAGAGAGAGAGAGAGAGGGAGAGAGAATGCTTTTCAGTCATTTCTAGCTTTCCTCTTATCTTGTTGAGCTCATAACAGACGAAGCATCTGCCCACCAGTTTCTCTTCTGTTTCTATCAGCCACCTGGACTTGAAGAGATACCATGCAAATGTCAACACACACACCTGTTTTATAGAAACTTCTTGCGCGCAAATAGCACAAATTAATGAGAAGTGTATGTATAATCTGCTAGTTATAGGTGTCCTTGAAGGAGATTGTAAAACTGTGCAGGCTAGCCAATGCATTCAGTAATGTGTGTGTGTGTGTGTGTGTGTGTGCACATGCAGGGCAGCGACGCGACCGGTGTTGATCTTGTTACCAGTGTTAGGCCTGACCTGGCTGTGTGGCGTGCTGGTGCACCTGTCTGATGTGGTGGCCTATCTGTTCATCACACTCAATGCCTTTCAGGTAACAACACTCAATGCTTTTCATTCAGGGACAAGGCATGTGATCTTTATGAGCGAGTCATTGAATCATTCACTGAACTGATTAATTCAAATGGCTGATTCATTCAGGGACAAAGCATGCAGTCTTTATGAGTGAGTCATTGAATCATTCACTGAACTGATTTGTTCAAATGGCTGATTCATTCAGGGACAAAGCTTGTGGTCTTTATGAGTGAGTCATTGAATCATTCACTGAACTGATTCGTTCAAATGGCTGATTCATTCAGGGACAAAGCATGCGGTCTTTATGAGTGAGTCATTGAATCATTCACTTAACTGATTCGTTCAAATGGCGGATTCATTCAGGGACAAAGCATGCGGTCTTTACGAGTGAGTCATTGAATCATTCACTTAACTGATTCGTTCAAAGGGCTGATTCATTCAGGGACAAAGCATGCGGTCTTTATGAGTGAGTCATTGAATGAATGGCTCACTTGATTCGTTATCCGCAGATTCATTCAGTAATGAAACCGCTGTACATTGCTAGGTCTGCACAACAAAACTAGCCCAACGACCAATCAAAGTTAGCACAAAAATAGGCGAAATCAACCCGCAGCAACGAGAACATTGTTTGTAACTCAACTATATATATATATTTTAAAATTTGCATATAACTTTTAATTTCAAGGAAGTCAACTCTTAAAAATAACGTAATATTTAAAAGTTCAATAAATGCAAAGTCTATGTGTAACCTTGTTAAATAATGGTCAATATATGTGACACTTGACAAGTAAGCTCCCATTAGTTAATGCATTAACTAATTATAACTAAACAATGAGAAATACATTTGTTACAGTATTTATGTCACTTAAAGTCCCTCTGTGGTGTAAATCCAGCTTTTAATGTTGTTTATGTGTGTATGTGATGTTTTTAATACGCTTTAACACACACCATACTATGGCACTAATGTTAATGATTTTTTGCCATAATCAAGTATCTTAGCTCATGCATGTTATTAAAGACAGACAGAGAGGAGAAAGAGAGAGAGAGAGAGAGAGAGTTGAGATGTATTTGCCTTCCTCCTAATCGGGCTCAAATCCGTCAACACATCTGAAATGAACTTCCTCTCGTTCAGCTTCATGTAGCTCTCTTGCACTTGTCTCTCTTGTCTCTTTCTTCCTCCCTTGTCTATAATGAATGAGGGCTGAATTCCCTCCCAGAGCTTGTTAATGTAGATTTACTGTGTGCGTCTGGGAAAAAGATAAAAGCAGCAGAAGAGCGATAGAGAGAACGGGGGAGACGCACAGGAGGACGAGACACATGAGCAGGAAACTCTTCTGATATAATTAGCCGTGCAGATCTATCATGAGTGTTTATGTAGCAGACGTCTGTGAGAACAAACATCTCCAACCTGCATGGAAAGCTCCTGCTATCTCGTATATATTTCAGAAATATTTGCATATATATATGTAACAAAATAATTATACTCAGTTCACACACGTGTTATGTAAACACAAACTTTTATTTTGGATGTGATTACTCGCTGCACAGCCCTAATAAATAAATAAATATATATATATATATAAATATGTGAAATGATTAATCGCGATTAATCACATCCAAAATAGAAGTTTGTGTTTACATAATACATGTATGTGAAGTGAACTGTGTATAATTAAGTGTATATAAATAATTAAGTGTATATAAATAATTAAGTGTATATAAATACACACACACACACACACGCATGTATATATTTCAGAAATATTTGCTTATATATACTGTATTTTGTACAATACATAAATATTTTATATATAAATATCACATTTTTCTTAAATTATATACATGTATGTGTGTGTATTTATATATACAAAATAATTATACACAGTATACACAGTCACAAACATATTATGTAAACACAAACTTTTATTTTGGATGTGATTAATCACGATTAATCGTTTGACAGCCCTAATATATATATATATATGTTGAATGGCACAGTGGCCACTACTGGATGCCCTAGTTGTTCTCCGGCTATCTGAGAGCAATATTATTAACTCCTCTAATGGGGGCGCAGCCAAATTATTTAATACTCTGTACACTAAACAAACATTACCAAAAGATATAAAATTTTCAAAAGTAAAAAAATTATGTTTTTGAATGATATTACAATAGTGATAACTTGATGGTTTTTTATCCAATACTGGTGTTGATATATGTATATATGATATATGTAAGAGTGTATATATATACACTATATATGTGTATGTAAATAATGTAATACTTTATTTTAGAACAATACAATAGATTAGAGATATGTTTATGCATCAAGAGTTAAGCATTTATTGCTGTATTTATGAACTGCTTACTAATGTCTTAATGTTGCTTTCTACATTTACAATGTTTTATAAATGATGAATGAACTATTTACTAATGCTTATCTAATTATTCAGTTATTATAGTGTTACCTGTACTCCATCCTAATGGGTTACTGCTAGGTCTGACATAGTTATGAATTATGAAAGTAGCAAATCCTAGTCAATAAGGAAGATTATGCAGACACTTGTGTTGATCAGCAACTATGAGTATTTTGCTAATACCAAAAAGTGTCACACACTGAGAACGAACAGTGATCATTCAAGCACAAACAAGTGAAAATAACTAAATGTATGGTATATGAAAAATTAGAAAAAACTAAATGTGTGTGTGTGTTGATCTCTAAAATATCTGAAAATGTTCCTCAATCTCACAAAACCCTGTTATAATATCCATGTCATAATATACCCCATAATCGAATGGAAAAACTAAATATTTTGCATATGGCACTTATATTTTCCAATATTATATGATTTTATGCATTATTTACGGCATTATTTTCATTATAGTTGAACTCACTTTTTTTCATTTGAAATAGTGAAAGTTAAGGATTTTTTTTATTTTTTGTTTTGTTTGTTTTTTGTTTTGTTTTTTTGCGCACACCTAGCAAAGCACATCGGTTTCATTACTGAATGAATCTGCGGATAACGAATCAAGTGAGCCATTCATTCAATGATTCACTCATAAAGACCGCATGCTTTGTCCCTGAATGAATCCGCCATTTGAATGAATCAGTTAAGTGAATGATTCAATGACTCACTCATAAAGACCGCATGCTTTGTCCCTGAATGAATCCGCCATTTGAATGAATCAGTTAAGTGAATGATTCAATGAATTACTCATAAAGACCGTACCACTGTCGTTTTTTTTTTGGGGGGGTCGAATTTTTGAGTTTCGATATCTCACCTCTGGAAGGGTCTAGAGCCTCAATTTTTGCACTCAGGTTTAAGTCCCACGGCCCTCTAATAAGATTGGAGAAACTTAATTTTTCGCCCGAAAAAAAAAAAAACGTAAGGGGTACCACTGTCATTTTTTTTTTCGGTTCGAATTTTTGAGTTTCAATATCTCAGCTCTGGAAGGGGCTAGAGCCTCCATTTTTGCACTCAGGTCTAAGTCTCATGGCCCTCTACCAGAATCCAGAGTTTTGGGAAGATTGGAGAAACTTAATTTTTCGCCGAAAAAAAAAAACGTAAGGGGTACCACTGTCGTTTTTTTTTCGGGCCGAATTTTTGAGTTTCGATATCTCAGCTCTGGAAGGGGCTAGAGCCTCCATTTTTGCACTCAGGTCTAAGTCTCATGGCCCTCTATCAGAATCCAGAGTTTTGGGAAGATTGGAGAAACTTAATTTTTCGCCCAAAAAAAAAACGTAAGGGGTACCACTGTCGTTTTTTTTTTCGGGCCGAATTTTTGAGTTTCGATATCTCAGCTCTGGAAGGGGCTAGAGCCTCCATTTTTGCACTCAGGTCTAAGTCTCATGGCCCTCTATCAGAATCCAGAGTTTTGGGAAGATTGGAGAAACTTAATTTTTCGCCCAAAAAAAAAAACGTAAGGGGTACCACTGTCGTTTTTTTTTCGGGCCGAATTTTTGAGTTTCGATATCTCAGCTCTGGAAGGGGCTAGAGCCTCCATTTTTGCACTCAGGTCTAAGTCTCATGGCCCTCTATCAGAATCCAGAGTTTTGGGAAGATTGGAGAAACTTAATTTTTCGCCCAAAAAAAAAAAACGTAAGGGGTACCACTGTCGTTTTTTTTTTCGGGCCGAATTTTTGAGTTTCGATATCTCAGCTCTGGAAGGGGCTAGAGCCTCCATTTTTGCACTCAGGTCTAAGTCTCATGGCCCTCTATCAGAATCCAGAGTTTTGGGAAGATTGGAGAAACTTAATTTTTCGCCCAAAAAAAAAAACGTAAGGGGTACCACTGTCGTTTTTTTTTCGGGCCGAATTTTTGAGTTTCGATATCTCAGCTCTGGAAGGGGCTAGAGCCTCCATTTTTGCACTCAGGTCTAAGTCTCATGGCCCTCTATCAGAATCCAGAGTTTTGGGAAGATTGGAGAAACTTAATTTTTCGCCCAAAAAAAAAAACGTAAGGGGTACCACTGTCGTTTTTTTTTTCGGGCCGAATTTTTGAGTTTCGATATCTCAGCTCTGGAAGGGGCTAGAGCCTCCATTTTTGCACTCAGGTCTAAGTCTCATGGCCCTCTATCAGAATCCAGAGTTTTGGGAAGATTGGAGAAACTTAATTTTTCGCCCAAAAAAAAAAACGTAAGGGGTACCACTGTCGTTTTTTTTTTCGGGCCGAATTTTTGAGTTTCGATATCTCAGCTCTGGAAGGGGCTAGAGCCTCCATTTTTGCACTCAGGTCTAAGTCTCATGGCCCTCTATCAGAATCCAGAGTTTTGGGAAGATTGGAGAAACTTAATTTTTCGCCAAAAAAAAAAACGTAAGGGGTACCACTGTCGTTTTTTTTTCGGGCCGAATTTTTGAGTTTCGATATCTCAGCTCTGGAAGGGGCTAGAGCCTCCATTTTTGCACTCAGGTCTAAGTCTCATGGCCCTCTATCAGAATCCAGAGTTTTGGGAAGATTGGAGAAACTTAATTTTTCGCCCAAAAAAAAAAACGTAAGGGGTACCACTGTCGTTTTTTTTTTCGGGCCGAATTTTTGAGTTTCGATATCTCAGCTCTGGAAGGGGCTAGAGCCTCCATTTTTGCACTCAGGTCTAAGTCTCATGGCCCTCTATCAGAATCCAGAGTTTTGGGAAGATTGGAGAAACTTAATTTT